GCAGGGTAGGAAAGAGACCCCTTTCTGGAAATTAACACTGGGACCTCTGAGAAGGCTTCAGCTCTTCATTTTTAAGGAAATTTCTGTTGGAGCAAGGAGGGGCTGGCTGAATAGAGATACTCTGCCTCTCCTGGTTCTGGGTTCAGACATCTACCAGCTGACTCCAGGGAAGGGCTCTGATGAAGGTCCAAGCTCAAGTTGCAGGCTTGAGAGCCTGACAGTCCTTGAGCAGCTGGTGACACCTTTCTTGGGCTGAATGTCCCTGCTTTCTTGCTGGCCCCTGGCTCTGGGGAGTCACAATGCTAACATCAGCCCTGAACACTTCTAAGCCAAAGTCCTTGCTCTAATGTCCCCTGTCCGACCATCGCCTCTGGGCCTCCTAATTCAAACACATCTAGCACCCAACACAAGTGGGGGCACTTCCAAAGGAGGGTCTGCAAGCTGGGTAGGGACTCTCAAATTTACCATTTCTTTGGCAAGTCTTGGCCTCCACAAGGCCTAGCTTCCCCATCTGTGAAATAGCTGATTCCTGCCTCATCATCCAATGAGAACCTTGAGGTCACATGCTGGTCACATGATGGGCTCTCAGCCAAGTCAGTTCACCCCATTGCATAGGTGAAAAGGCAGCATCGGGTCTTGGTAAGGATCCAGCCCACAAGGAAGTTAAAATAATTTAAAAAACAAAATATATATCAAAATCATGTAATACAACATATCAATAGAAGAAAAAACCCCACATGATCATCTCAATTGATACAGAAAAAACATGTGACAAAATTCAACACTTTTTCATGATAAAAACACTCAAACTAGGAATAGAAGGACTCTTCCTCAGTATGATAAAGGCCATATGCGTAAAACCCATAGCCAATATCATACTCAATATTAAAAAACAGGGAGCTTTTCCTGTAAGATCAGGAACAAGGCAAGGATGCCTGCTCTTGCCACTTCTATTCAGCTTAGTGCTGGAAATCCTAGCCAGAGCAATAAGGCAAGGAAAAAAAAAAAGGCATTCAAATTGGAAAGGAAGAAGTAAAATTATCTCTGTTTGCAGATGATATGATCTCCTGTGCAGAAATCCTTAAAGATTCCACAAAAACATTGCTAGAGCTAATAAATGCATTAACAACATTGCAGGATACAAAATCAGCACACAAAAGTCAGTGTGTCTCTATAACCAACAATGAACAATCTGAAAAGGAAATTAAGAAAACAGTCCCACTTACAACATCTAAGAGAATAAAATATATAGGAATAAATTTAACCAAAGAGGCTAAAAACTCGTACAGTAAAAACTATAAAACATCACTGAAATTAAATAAGTCTTAAACAAATGGAAAGTCATCCCATATTCATGGATTCGAAGATATAATATTGTGAAAATATTCATACTACACAAAGTGAGACACAGATTAAATGCAATTGCTTTCAAAATCCCGTGTTTTTTGCAGAAATGGAAAAACCCATCTTAACATTCATATGGAATCTCAAGGATCCCAATAGCCAAAACAATCTTAAAAAACAAGAACAAAGTCAAAGGACTCACACTTTCTGATTTCAAAACTCATTATTAAGCTGTAGTAATCAAGACTATCTGACATAAGGACAGACATAGAGACCAATGGAATAAAATAGAGATTCCAGGGGTCGGCCGAGTGGCTCAGATGGTTAAAAGCGTGTGCTCTGAGCAACAGGGTTGCCAGTTCCATTCCCACAGGGGCCAGTGAGCTGTGCCTGGGCTGAGCTGCCAACAGGTGGCAGGATGGCTCAGTGGTTAGAGCACGTGCTCCTAACAACAAGGTTGCCAGATGGCAACTGGACTTGGAGCTGAGCTAGCTGTGTCCTCCACAACTAAGACCGAAGGACAACAACTTGGCTGTTCCCCTCCCCCAATTTTCCAATAAAATCTTAAAATAAAATAGAGATTCCAGCAAAAAAAAAAACCACCCTGCATATATCATCATTTGATCTTTGACAAGTGTGTCAAGACCATTCAATGAGGAAAAGACAGTCTTTTCAACAAATAGTACTGGGAAAACTGGATATCCACATACAAAAAAATGAAGTTGGACCCTTACCTTACATCAAGTTATACAAAAAAATAATGACTCAAACTAGATCAAAGACCCAGGTGTAAGAGCTAAAACTATAAAACTCTTAGAAAAAAACAAAGGGAAATCTCCACAACATTGGATGTGGCAGTGATTCCTTGGATATGACACCAAAACAACAAAAGAAAAAAATGGGTAATTTGACTTGATTAAAATTAAAATGTTTTGTGCATCAAAGGAAACCATCAAGAGAGTGAAAAGATAACCCACAGAATGGGAGAAAATATTTGCAAATCATATATCTGATAAAGGGTTAATAACCAAAATATACAAAGAACTCCTATAACTCAACAACAAAACAAACAATCCAATTTAAAAATGGGCAAAGCACTTGAATAGACATTTCTCCAAAAAAAGATATACAAATGGCCAATAAGCACATGTAAATATGCTGAACATCACTAGTCACTAGGGAAATGCAAGTCAAAATGAGATACCTATTAGGATGGCTATTATCAAAAAACCAGAAGAGAACAAATATTTGTGAGGCTGTAGAGAAATTAGAAAGTTTGTATGTTGCTGGTGGGAATATAAAATTGTGCAGCTGCTGTGGAAAAGTTTGACAGTTTTTCAAAAAGTTGAACAGGGTTACCATAGGATTCAGCAATTCCACTTTGGGGTATATACCTAAAATAATTAAAAACAGGGACTGAAACAGATATTTGTACACCCATGTTCATATCAGCATTAGTCACAATAGCCAAAAGATGAAAGCAACCCAAGTATCCCTAACAGCTAAATGGATAAACAAAATGTGGTAGGTACACATAATGGAATAGTATTCAACTTTAAAAAGAAACAAAATTCTGATAGATGCTACAACGTGGTTGAAACTTTAAAACAGTATTCTAAGTGAAATGACAAATATGTATGATTACACTTATACAAATTACTTAGAATAGGCAAATTAATACAAAGCAGAATAGAGGTTACCAGGGGAAGAAGGGGAAGGGGTCGTGGTGAGGAATTAGTTTAATGGGGACAGAGTTTCTGTTGGGGGTGATGTTGAAGTTCTGGAGCTGGATAGTGGTGAAGGCTGCATAACAATGTGAATGTACAGTAAATGCCACTGAACTGTATACCTAAAAATGGTTAAAATTTGTCATGTATATTTTACCAGTTTAAAAAATATATAAAATATATACTTAGAAGGAAGCCTGAATGAAAAAAAATGCAATTTGGACCAAAAAAAGGCACTTTCTGATGGCCTGGACCAGTTGGATTAGTCAGTCTTTTGCACAGGCCTGCTGTCCGCTCTCTGCTGACCAGCCCTGAGTCAGCCTGAGCTGCCTAGCGCCTGAGGCAAGCCAAATTGTCGGGAACTCCCCCTCTCCTTTGAGGCAGGAAGTTTAAATTATCAGGTCAATTAGGAAAGATACAACCGAAAAATACAAGTTTCATTCACACTTCAAGGAGGCGTTTCCTGGCGGGGTGCCACTTTTATTATTTTTGGCGGAGACGGCTGAAAGCCCCATGGACTCAGTGAAGGTACAATGTGATCTTTGATTCCCGTTTCAAAGATCAAAGAGAGTGAGTTTGTGTGTAAATTCAGATAACATTTCAGAGATCCTTTCATGAAAGGAGTCACTAGACCAGGGCAGAAAGGGAGCTGGTGTGTTACGTGTGTGTTTGCCTTGAGAAACATCCCTTTCCAGTGATTTCAGCTGCCCATGGCCCCAGTAACGCCTGGCCTGCATCCAGGTTCTTGGCCCACGGGGCATTGGGTCCTTGGGCTGGGGGGCGGACACCCTCTCCTACCTCCTGTCTAGGCACCCCGAGGACACAAGGAGGAGGCTGGGGCCATGCACTCGGGGAGCACTCAACCTCATCCTCCACTGGCTTTTCCAAGGTCTTTGGGTACTGATGGCTCGCCACTCCTGGGCGGCAGGCTTGGCCTTGGCAGCCCGCCCTCATTGTCCTCCCTAGGGAAGACAGCCTCAGCTGGGGTAGAGCAGCACAAACCCACTTACAACGAGAAACCCACAGGCTCCGCCTGCCATCCCCGCAGGTGGAGGGTCCTTGGAGCCAGCCCAGCCCGGCCCTCTCGCTCTGGGCTGGAGGTATTTATATAGAACCGTACCCTAACCAGGTTTTGAGAATGGGGCACTGAGTGGTGAGAGTCTTTCCAGGAAAGCGCTGCAGCCTCTCTACGCCCAAATTCTCCCTGATGCCCGCAGCCCCCAGTGCCCAGCTAACTCGAGGGCAGCAACCCCGGGCTGCGGTGGCTCAGCACTTCCATCTCTGCGGGATCCAGATGGGCGTCGCGGCCCCTCCCGCTAGCCAATTCAGTCCTCAGCCCCAGCGCGTTCCCCATCCGCTCTGGCCGCCCCGCGCCTGCGCACGCAGCCCCGTCTGCTCACGTGGCACTTGGCGCTGCACGGGGCTGAGCGCGCTCCCATCACCCTTCGCGCCGTGCTGCCGCGCTGGCAGGACCAGGGAGCGCGTGCGCGGCTGTGGCCACGCGGCGTACGGCGCAGGCGCGGCTCGGATGGGAGGCCAGCGTGGGGCGGGGCGAAAGCCGGCGCGGGGACGTACGTCGTGGCCGTGTGCTCGCAGGGGGTGTGGCTGCGCGACGCGGTCTGGTTCTGAGTGCTGCACTGCTCCAAGTGGGAGTCTCTGTCTTCGGCTCTAGGGTCAGTGGGGTGGCGAAAACCCGGGCGACCGGCGGTAGGACCCCGTTCTCCGTCCCTTCTGAACTCCTCGTCTGCGGGGAGGCGCTCGGAGCCTTTCGACTGGGTCCCCGCTGTCCTGGCCATCCGGCTTCAGTGTATCAGTCCACGCCGGGGGCTGGGAGTGCGTCTGTAGTCATTTTTGGGTAGTGCCCGCCGTCTCCGGAGGTCGCGACCGCACCCCGCCTCACGGCGGCCGTTCTTGTTCTCCACTTTCTAGGTGGCATTTGGACCCTCGCCCTCGGAGGGAGACGCGTCCGCATGGTCTTTGGCCGCAGACCGGTGGGCCCTCTTCGGGGGCTCCTTGCGTAGCCGCAGGTGGGTCGGCTTCTTATTGCAGTGGGTCTTTTGAGCTCATATCCCCGCGGTTTCCTGCATGGGGGCTGCGGGAGGGATGGTGCTGTGGTAGGGATGGTGCTGTGGTCTGCCCTGGAGTGGCGGCACTTGCTATGAGGCTTTGGGCAGGTTATTCTACTTTGGGCCCCCTAGGTCTCCTCGGAGCAGAGAATGCTCCCGCGTTCCAGGTGCTGCTTTTGGCTTTGCGGAGACAAGTGCTCGTGCGCCACGGTACCCGCTCTTTGATAGAGCTTTTTCCAGTCAAAGAGAATGGTCCAGGCAGTACCAGGTAGGGAGGGGAAGAAAAACGAGAGAGACCAACTGACTGATAGGCGTGAGTTCTCTCACGAGTCAAGCCCAAACAGGGGTGGCTGGCAGGCGCAGAGGAACCTTCTCCCTGAAGCTGCAGGGGGCACAGGCATGCTGATGAGTGGGCAGGGTTCTGAGTGGGGGTGGGAAATGGGGACTGGGAGAAAAGGTCAGAGACCTGGGTAGTGCATTGGCTCTTGGGTATGAATGCGGTCTTTGCTGGCATCTAACCTCAGGTTGGTGGTAGGAGCTGGGATGTGGTTATTGCTTTTCAGAGACTGGACTGGAATCTGAGTGGATTGCGTTCATGTCCTGCCCCTTGGGCTACTGCTGCTGGCAGGCCCTAGCATATTATTTACTTGTGTTAGGATGGAAAGGGCTTTCAGATGGAAGACACCCCCTCCCCCCCAAGTAGATGATGTATCTGAGAGACTCCAGAATGCTTGGGTGGTGGAGGTAGGTGCCTGTGGCCCTGGCAGCTTTGAGTAGTGCAGGCCACTCTGGGAGGTGCTGGGCAGAAAGACCAGCAGAGCTGTGCCTCTCTGGAGGAACTCACTCTGATGGGCGTAGATAAACACATAAGTGTGTATGGCCCGTGGTGTCCGGTGGTGTGAGTAAATGGAGCATTGAGGTATGATCGGAGAAGTTGTTTGGAAAATTGCGCAAGGAGGGGTGAAGCAGAGAGTTCTGTGGATGCCATGAGTGGACCTCCCTTTGCAGAGAGACAGGGGATGTGGCTACTGTCAGTCTGGGCATTGTGAGAGCCCTGGGAGAGGGCTCCTTGCACTAGAAAAGAACTACCTGCCGATGGTTGCAGTCTCCTTTCCTACTTCGGGGCTCTTTGGGCTGCTCAGGGTTGGTGATCACTGTTCTCCAGGCCATTTGCAGGAGTGACTTTGGGGAGATGAGAGAAGACGCAGCAAGTAGGATTAAACTTAGGGGATCAGATACCAGGCTATTGGCAGAAATGGGGATGCAGGGAAGTGGTGTTCGGGGTGGCAGTGGCAATACGCGCAGGCTGTACTCTGGTGATGTGAGTCTGGAAAGCATGGGCAGAAAAGGCTGGAGGGCACAGAGAATAGTGGGGCCCCAGGCTTCTGTCGGGCACGCAGGTAGCATCGACCATGCCCCTGTGCTGTGACGCTATCTGTGTACTTAACAGTGTTTGGGGTAGCTAGGAGACTTCTTCAGTGGATTGTGAAGGGGTAGTTCGTAACTGGAGTGGAGAAATTGGTGGTTAAGTGTTTTGGTTTCTAGAGCCAGGTTCAGCTGCCTCTGCCACTTACTGGTCGGTGTGTGGCTGCAGACAAGTGACTTCATTCACCACTTTACCTTAGGGATCATAAGAGTACCAGTCTCATGGGATGGGGGTTGGAGGGGGGGTCAGTGTTTGGCGTGGATAGAGCACGCATTAACAGGTTGTAATTGTCATTCTCCTACTGAAATCCCTGATAGCTGGGCTGTCCAAGGAAGCCCAGGAGGTTCTGATCTGGCCACCTTTTCTTCTCCTGGGACTGACAGCATCTGCCACCACACCTTGCCCTTGGAATATCACATGTGGCATTTGCCTGCCTTCTCAGACCTCCCAGGCCAGCTTCCCAGACCCTCCTTCCACTCAGATTTCCTGGTGGGTTACCTAGGGTTTGCCTGCTTGTTGCCTTCTGCAGCCGGATGGTAATGGTTGGGCCTAGTTTCTGCTCTTCCCCACCTTGTTTTTGGACAGATTGCTTCGGATGGTGACCTGCGTCTGACAGTCCCATCAGCTCTTCTCAGCTCTCCTGAGGCCGCAGCTGGCAGCTCCCCTGACCCTCAGCACTTGCCTGGACCGCCTGCGTTTGCCACCACATCCTTCTCCAGCCCATCTCTGTCCTATTGTGTCCTGAGTGTCACTTTTGACCACTCTTCCCTCCTGCGGCACCTCTTCCTCCCTTTTTCCCTTTCTTCTCTTACTTGGTGTAGTTTGTGTGGCAGCCCGTCTGCACCATGCCTCGTGGCCAGCCCCGGCGGCAGGGTCCTCGCAATCCCATCCGGGCGGCAGCCAATTACGCCAATGCACATCCTTGGCAGCAGATGGACTGGGTCTCTCCTGGGTCTGCATATGCCCCTCTAGTGGATCCCTGGATTGAGCGGCCTTGCTGTGGGGACCCTGTGTGTGTGCGCACAACCGTGGAGCAGAAGAGCACGGCAAGTGGTACTCGCAGCGGTGACCCCATGGAAAGGGGTCCTCGCACTGTGCACATGCCTGGCCCATGGCCTCTCCGGGTGGACTTCCACTGGGTGCCAGGCTCGGACCCAGGCACTTTTGATGGCTCCCCATGGCTGCTGGACCGCTTTTTGGCCCAGCTGGGCGATTACATGTCTTTCCGCTTCAAGCACTACCAGGACAACCTCAGCCGCGTCTGTTGAGATCCTCGGGCGTCTGACAGGCCGAGCTCGGGCGTGGGCAGCCCCCTACCTTGATGGGGACCTACCCCTGCCCGACGATTATGAGCTCTTTTGCCAAGATCTTGAGGAGGTTATTCAAGACCCAAACAATTTCGCTGAGTACCATGCTGCAGTGCCCTGCCCTCTGCCCCCAGCCTCGAGCCAGCCACCAGTGGCCCCACAGCTGCCTGTGGTGAGGCAGTACTTAGCTAGGTTCTCAGAGGCGTTGGCACTCAACATGGGTACTCCCCCCAGGCCTATCCCAGCCACCCCTGCTGTTTCTAGTTCCAGCTCTACATCTGGAAATGCTCTGCCTGAGCACCAGCTAGCCAAGGAGAGCAGCCCTGAGTCCATGGAGCCCCCTGCCTTGTCCAGTTCTGCATGCAGCACTAATCCTGGTCCATTGGGGCCAGCCTCCTCTCAGCCAGAGGAGGTGGCCCCCAAACCTGTCCCTGAACTTTCAGAACCTGCTAATCCCCCTGCCCAGAAACCAAATCCAGCTCTCCCAGGGGGCCCAGAACCCCAAAACACAGAGGAGAAGATTTCTGAAACACAGGAGACCAGGAAGCAACCTTAAGTAGCCCACAGAGTGCAGTGGTTCCCCCAGATACCCCAGGAGAGCCGCCATTTTCTCCTGTTCTCCACCCTTCCGCCCTGGATTCTGAACAGGGCCCAGGCAGGTGCAGCAGTGTTCCTTGTGATGAAGTGGCCTGCCTAGCCAAGGAGCCCCATGGCCCCCCATCAGTACAGAGTGGCATTACCAGATGACTCTAGACATAGCACTGCCAGGTGTTCTGTCAACTTGACCCATTGCTGGGCAGGAGGTGTACTTGTTTGGGCTCTATCCTGTCTGAGTACAAACAGACCCCTTCTTCTGTCCCTCCCCCCACCACAGCGGACTGTTGGCTTTTGCCCTGTGCCCTTCATCCCCCGACTTCCCCAGAGGCTGTCTCCCGCTTGGCTCTCTGCATCCCCACCACTGCACAGGGAGTACCATTTCACCTGGGCTTGTTCCCACTAGTTGGACAAGAGTTCTGTAGATCAGTCCCATCAGATATTTGCATCATTGTCATAAACCCCACCCACTCATGCACACACACAACCCCCCTTCAGTGCTGGCCGCCACTGGACTGGATCTGCCATGCCAGCCCTGTTTGGATCTGGCCCCTGGATGGTCTTTTTTTTTTTGGCCCCCACCCCCATCTCGGCTCCCTATGTCCTCTGTCTTCTGGGTTGGAATTTAAGGAAGCTGCATGGTAGAACTGGCCACTTTCATTGTTATTGAGTGGGATGGTATCTTGGCAGAGAGGGATACTCCCCTGTGGGTGTATTAGGAACCCTGTCCAGCTGGGAAGGCTCTGATGCAGAAAAGTGAAATGTAAGCCCACTTGTAGCCTCAGCTGCATTTCAGGCATTTTGTCCTGTATGTTAACATTCTAGTCACACCTGGTTTCAGAAAGTGGCATGGATTTTTACATCTTGTGCCTTTTCCGTGCTACCCTCCCACTTTCTGCTCTTCAGCAGTCCCTGCCTCCTGCCCATTCTTACACATTGCTGATTCAGCCCTGAAACCCCAACTTTGTACATGATTAGTATCTGGGTAGACTGTCAGCCTCTAGGGCAGGGGCTCTATCTTAGTTTTGTGTCCCTGGTACACAATCAGTGCTCATTAAAGGTGTTGGATCCATGGCTGAGCTTGTGGTGTGGCTGCTGACAAGCAGAGTGCTTGTCAAGCACTGCCCGTTCTGTCAGAAACAGGCTATGTCCCAACTGCAAGCGCTCCAGGTCAGAGTTGCAAGTGTGGTTTCCAGCGGGGGCTTTGAGGATCCAAGGATCTGGTTGAAGGAGTTGGGCTCAATGGGTAGGAATGGGAGACTTGGCAGGTGGAGTGTGTCCTTGAAAACTGACTTCCGAGAGCTGAGAGCAGGAGGTGAAGTGAGGAGCAGGCAGCAGACCTGGTCTTTGAGGCCTCGGGGCCAGAGGATTGGAATGAAGAAAGACCTGTTCTGCACAAGGATAGGTTTTCTAATGACAGCTGAGCTCAAAGCTCCCTCAAGCCAAATTTAACACAGGATTGGTACAGTGCACCTACTCCAGTGGTTAGGCAAGAATTTCAAGCCCGTTTCAGTTTTTAAATTGTGGAAACAAAAGAACACCTTCCTGGAAAGTAGGAAGAAAAAATAAGTGGAAAAGTGAACTGCAGCTAAAACTATTGGGTTGTCGGAAAAGTCATGACGCATTTTTCCTGTTTTTCGTTGCAAAAATGCGTCATGACTTTTCCAACAACCCAATAGTTAGTTTAGGAAAAACGAGTAGGCAAACATCTGGTAAAAATTTTTAAGTAAAATAGACATTGTTGGGATTATTTAGTAACTCAAAAAGGCTCTGGGTTCAGATGGTTTTATGCGTGAATTATTTTAAGGCCAGATACCTTTGTTAGTATAACAGTTACAAATCTTGGAAAGAGGTGGGAAGCTAATAAACCCTAAAAGCAAAACAAGCTGACAGAAGAAATCAGTGTGTAGTCATGATTCTGATCAGAAGTGGAAAATCCCTGGATATCCTAACCCTGCCCAGTGCTTCTGTGGGGTCACATTAGTGCTTCTGCCCAGGTCCAGGGCCTCCTTTTGTAGGCACAAGTCTGCTGTGGCCTGGCCTGCCTGTGGGCCTGGTATCGTTTGCAGTACCAGATCGGCCCTCATTTGATCTGGCAAGACGGCTCTGGCAGTTGAATCTAGAGCCACACTCGGGGACAGACAGCCCAGTTAACACCCCCACTATGTTGCTTGCCTCTGTGCAGGCTGCCTTTACTGTCTCTATTTAGTGGACCTGGTGTGAATTCCTTCAGCTCAAGATCGCCATTTTTCCTTCCAAACCCCTGTCCTGTGTGTGTGGGTGGGTAGGTGGGTGCATGGGGCTTTCCTCCCTTGGGCCCCAAGCTGCTCCAGTGGGCTTGAGTTATAGTCTGATATACTACTCCTGAGAGCCAGGTCCATCAAGGCAGGCCTGAGGGCATTTGAGAAGAGGCCAGATGACATGCTTTTTAATTTGGAGAATGGGTCCTTTTGTGGTTGGGCTCTTGTCACAAAGGAAAGGAAAGGAGGGCAGGGCCGCAGTGATAATGGCAATGGTAATGGCATAGCTGCCCATTCCTGGGTGCCCATGAGGGCGGAATCAGGAGAGGATGGGAGGGCTCTTGCCTGGCCTTTGACACAGTGCATATGGTGTTGCAAAATGACAGCTTCGTCTCCAGCCAGTGTTGTGCCTCGCCTTTGGGCAGATGCCATGACCTAGCTGCCTTCCCGCTTTGCGGGCAAGCAGGCACACAAGAAGGCCAGGAGAGGAGGCTCTTGAGTCATTCTCCACTCCTGGCTCTCCACACAGGCGGGTGACCTGGAGGAGGGTACTCCTGGGAGCGGCATGGTCTGGCAGGGTTTGCCGGATGGACTCAGGGATGGGCTGAAGTGCTGGGACCTGCCTTCCAGATCATCATGTCTGGCTTTCACTTCCCTTGGAAATACCCACAGATTTTATTACCTAAAGATAGGACACAGTGGGCACTCTGGGAAGGTTTTTAAGTACCTGTCTCCAAGGAAAATTCTAACACCAGAGATATTGAGGAAAAGGTCCTATGAGATATTGAACATTTTGTAAAGCTGCTATAATGAAGTGCTTGGAAATAGGTGTGGATGGATAAACAGGAGAATAAAGAAATTTGTAATAAAGCCAAATAAATAAGGAATTAGTTCATACTAGAGGTGTTGTTTCAAATTAATGAGAGTAAAATGGATTATTCAGTAAAAGTTGGAACAACTGGTTAGCCATCTGGAAAATAGAAAACCAGATGCCTACCTCACTACACTACTGTATACTCCAGATGGATTAAAAATTTCAACATTTAAAAAAATCTTTAAAGTACTACAGGATGAATTTGTTTTCCTGCCGGTAATTCCCAGAATTGCTGAAGGCTTAGAGAAACAGAATTTTTCTTGCTGTTGGTGGGCATATCAAATACTACAGTTCACCCACATGACATTTGTAGGCACGCTGACACTGACCACTTGCCTGCGCGCAGATGGCCGTTGCCCATTCTGCACTGGGGGGCTTCAGAGCATGGACTTCAGTTTGGTCACACCTTCTCCACTTGCAAGCTGGGGATCCTCCGTGTCACCCGACCTCCCTGAGCTGTTAGAATAGTTCATCCGTACAGGGCAGTGAAAGGGTTGAATGAGATAACATCAATGCAGTGGCCTGAGCCTTAGGGACTGTCTAGTGAGCCTCACTGCATTAACAGCAAAACTGGAACTAGCCCAAAGTTCCGACAGTAAGGAGCAAGGTAAATAGAGCTGTTATCTGTTGTACGAGTCAGATTGTGCTGCAATAACAAAAGCCTCCAGCATCTCAACCACCTGTCTGCCACAGATAAACTTGGGTACCCTCTGCCCTTTATAGTCCATTGGGGACCCATGCCAACAGGAGTCCCACTGGACATGTTTCTCCACAACCACAGAGGAAGGGGAATAACCACTGAACCACAAGTGATACGTATCATTCCCCATCCGGTACTGTGACCAGAGAAGCTACCGAGCCACATCTGAGTTCCCATGAAAGAGCATCTAATCCTCCCAATGGGGTGGGGCTCTCAGCCTTGAGAAGAGCAAGCATCTACTCAGCACTACCCAACAGTGCAGCCATGAAGGCAGAGGGGGCATGCTGCATCTATACCCTAGAAAGATGTCTGTGTGCGTTTACTAGGACTGCCTGGCTTACACAACAGAAATGTATTTTCTCAGCGTTCTGGAGGCTAAAAGTCTGATCCCAGAGTATCTACCTGGATGGTTTCTCCTGAGACCTCTCCTGGCTTGTGATGGTCTTCTCCCTGTGTCCTCACATGGTTGTCCCTCTGTGCCTGTCTGTATCCTGATCTCTTATGAAGACACCAGTCATATTGAATTAGGACCCACCCATATGACCTCATTGAACCTCCTTAAAGGCGCTATTTCCAAATATAGTCATATTCTGAGGTGCTGGGGATTACAGCTTCAACATCTGAATTTTTTTGAGGGGGACACAATTTAGGCCCTAATACTGCCCAAGATAGATTTCTTTGTTTTTTATTTTTGCAATTTGGGACAGTGCTGTCATGAGCACCCTTCTTAGTGTCATTGCGTGCCCGTGTGCAGAGCCTTTCCATGTCCCCAGCAGGAAGGGTCCGGTTGTTCTGTATGCGGAACTCTTTTTCTTAAGAAATCTTTCCCTACTTGAGGGTTCAAAGACATTACCCTATATTCCCAAGTCTTAATGTTTTGCCTTTTTCATTGATTGTGGAATCTAACAGCGTGGCATACAGAGGGGTCTGCTGTTGGCATCAAAGAGCCTGTGAAGAACAGGGTCCTTCTACCCACCTGCGCTGGACATGTAAGGAGTGGGAAATAAATGTGTGAAGCTGCTGAGTTTGGGGGCTTGTGTTTCCCACAGCACGACCTATTCTACCCTGACTGATAGAGGACGCTTTTCACCTTTTGCCATAAGGCAGGTGACTGTCAGCCTCAGGTGTCAGGTGCCATGCTGGCTGCACCTGTCCATGGTGCTGTCTCATACATGCCTGGCTCTGGTCTGCTCCATGCCTCACTAATTGTTTAGCTTTATGGTGAGCCTGTATTATCTGGTAGAGAAACATCCCCCTAACGCTTGTTCTTCAGATTGTCTTGGCTAGTTTCTAAAACACATTTTATCACAAACACAGAAGTGGAGAGGATGGTACAGTGGAACACAGTCTGACTGTCTCCTGGCTCCAGCAGCGGTCAGGCCTCACCCTGGGACATTTTCTTGGTGGACTGCTGGGCCAAGCATGCTCTCCAGGACAGCGGGAGCCCTGAGCTCACTTTATTCCTCTTTGAACTGTGATGTCCTCGTCTGAGTGTTGTCTGGGCACAGTTGTCAGCACTAGGCAGCTGGCCGCTATGGACCAGACCTCCTGGAAGAAGTGGGCCCCAGAAGCAAGCACTAGTGCACAGGAATGGTCACACTTCCTGTAAAACGACGAGCTTTTCCGTGTGTTCACCAGGGACAAAAAGACTGGCAGCCTATTGCTGGCCAGGTTCCCACCCCTGCCAGTAAACGCCTGGGGGCAGACTGGCTGAAAACGCCTCTCAGTTGGGCTTCCTTCCTGCCATCTTGCCGGGCTCCTTGGACCTGCTCCTGGGGGTGACGGATGTCCTCAGCTGCAGCTTGAGATGCCTGTTTGTGGAGAGGCCCTGCCCTCCCATCCTGCCTGCCGCTATAGCCCAGCAGCCCCTCACCCTGGCATTTCCTCTCAGCCTGACAAGGGCGGCCTGTTTCCCAGTCCTAAGAAGTGTGTGACCTGAGCAGTGCCCACACCTACGGGAAACCCCTGCGGGTGTGGGCACACTTCATACCTCATACCTCCAACCTTGATGCTGTCAGACGTTGCCATGCCATTATCTCCCCAAGGCTCGGTCTTGCTGCCCCAGCCCTGCTTGGCCCTGCCAGTGCTTTGGCTGTGGTGAGGCAGGGGAGAAGAACAGGCCACAGTGGGCCGGTGGGAGGGCTGTGCTCACCTTTGCCCGGGCACTGACCACACATGTGCCTTGACCCCAGCAGAGGAGCCTGGTCCTGGGAGACGCAGCTATATATAACTTGGCCTCCATTATTCTCTCCCACAGACACACAGGAGCCCATCTGAAAGGGGTGCTTATAGATCCGATCAGGTGAGCGTCCAGGCACTGCGGTTCAAAGCCTGGCTCACTGCAGGCCAGGAGCCTCCCTGGGGCTTCACAGGAATCTTTCAGCCAGCCTATGGGGGCCTGGGACGCTGCCCCCAGGGAGGCGAGGTCAGTGCCCGCTCCTCCCTGAGGCAGTGAATCTCACTGGAGGGAGTGGCTGAACTTTGCAGGAGCAGAAGACCTCTAAGTTACAGAGCAAGTGACTCGCTTCTCTTGGATGGAAGGAGAGGCTTCAGGCCAAGGACTGAGGTGGTGACTGTCCTTCCCCCAGGGCCTTCAGGCATCCAGTCAGCTCCACCACAGAAACCCGTATCTACGGCTGTCCCCTAAGTTCTGCTTTGGGGACTTGCCAGATCACAGGGAGATGCCCTCCCCGCAGGGGTGCCCAGGCTGTATGCGAGGCTCAGAGGGAGCTGCTGGCAGCGGGGCTTGGGTGTTTTCCCTGTGCACTCACAAAACAGCCAGCACAGGGCCTTGTCCCATCAGCTCCATTAGCTGGGGCCAAGGCCACTGCCTGCTGCTCCTGGGAGATGGCTGTGCCAGAAGCAGGCAGGCCTGGGACTGGCCTCTGGTCCGGCAGGGGAAGGGCTGTTTGGGGCGTGCCTTATCACCGCCCCCCCCCCAACACACACACACACACACACACACACACACACACACAGTTATATTAGTCACCCAGGGAGCTGGGAATAGCTATGGTTGGGGTGTGTACTTGCTGCTGTGGGGGAGGCAGGTGTCGGGACAGTGCCTGACTCCTGCCTCCTTACTGGGCTCCCAGGCCTGAGGTGTATAGGGCTGCTTGTGGCATCGGCCACCTTGCCTCCCTCCCTCCTTCCCTCTCATGCTGGGCTGGCCAAGCTGTATCCCCGGAACCCTCCCCAGGATCTGCATCTTTGAAGCCATGGATACTGACAGAGGATTCAATGAATCCAAGGTCGCCAGCCGGGTGTTGACAGATGCCCGGCCACGATACTATTTCTGATTTAATAACCGAATGGGAGGCTGGCCCTTGGTAATAATTAGGGCTAATTACTGAGGAGGTGTTGACAGACGGGCTGAGAGGAAACAAACTACCTTTATCCCGGGGCTTAGAGTCAGATTACCGGCCCGTGCTATCTGCCCCTCAGAAAGTAGATGCTTCAATCACTCACCGAGGCTTCAAAGGGGCAAGGGCCCTGACAATGCGCGGGGTTTGGAAAGGAGCTATGAAGTGCGCCTTTGACTCCAACTCACCAACGGAGCCCCATTTCAGAAATGGTTTCTTTGTGAAGTTTGAGTTACTCTGGGCAAACCCGCCTCCTAGCTCAGGCCAGGCTGGGGCTGTGGCTGGCCAGCCCACCCGCCCAGTCCGTCCCAGGCTGGGCCCAAGCAGGGGGGGTGTGGTATGTTTCTTTGGCCTGAGAGTGTGTCCAGTTCTTTGTGGCCTGGAGCTGCAGGTAACAGGATCGGATCTTACCATACCAGCAGACTGTTCCCTTCCCTCATCTGGCCACAGCTTTTCCGAAGCCGTCATGGGCAGGTCTGGCCTCTTTGCAAGGCACCTGATTTATGGTAGGACCATTCCTTGGGGACCCAGGCGTCACTCACAGGGCTGCCTCCACCTCCATCTTGGGCAGTAAGCCAACATCATGGACAGGATGCTCACCCCCCAGGGGTCTTGGTGACTGAGAGGTGATGGCCTAGAGAAGGGTTGTCCTGGGGCATAGGCTGGTTGTGATGCATGTATATGCACCTGCTAACACTGCTGGACCTCCCTGCAGCTCAAAGACAGTGGGGGGGCTGTGGCCAGACTTCCATTTCCTGATGTGAAGCAGCAGCCTTGGGAAGTTTCCCAAGTGACCTGGCCTGGACTGCAGGCTGCTGCATCTGTGATATGGCTTCAAGGGGCCGCCTGGGAGAATGAGGTCTCCTGCTAAGGCTCTCACTGCTGAATGCAGGAGCTTTTCTGGGATTCTGGGCCTTGCTGTGGTCTGTCTTGATCAAGAAGGCAGGAGGGCAATGAGGCC